TTATGTGGGCTCTGCAGCTCGCTGCTTGCAGGCAGCCTTTCGTTGTTACTGGAGAAAAATTTTCAACGCCACACGCCGAAAGCACTGCTACTGCTGCTACTAATTGAGACGACCGAACACCACCACACAGTGGTGTGGTCGTTGGGAGCGTGTGGGTCTGAGTATGGCGCTGAGTGTGCAAAATATTACGCAATTCCATCCTCCCTATTCGCACGCGCCCGAGGATCGGAGGCGAATGCCACTTCAACTTGTTTCGTCTACTCACTACTCTCTGACGACTGTGCTGGGGAAGCAGCAAATGCATGTAGGTAATTGGTGGATTTGTTGGTTAATTCGACGCTTTTGGACAATGCTGGACATTTACCAGTTTTTCAATAGTTTCTTGTTGAAAATCAACATTCGGAAGCATGCATGCGTAGCCATATTTCTGATCAATTGGTGATAAAATTATTGAAATTGGACCAGGGGCAGCTGAGTTATTAACGTTCAAAATCTTTCTCAATTTGTTACATGTTCCATTTTCGGTTTTCACAAAGTGTACCCCCATATAGAAATCAAAGACGTAGTCCTACGTCAAAAAGTAATCAACAATAATGATTAAAATCTATCATTGCGTTGCTCGTTGTTGATCTGGAAGTGGTTAGTTTTCGTCATGTGTGGAAACTAAAGTTCTAAAATCCGTCCACTAACCCTTTATAAGGCCGTGGAAACCAAGCAAGGAATCAACAAAAACTATAATAAAACGCTTTCGGACATACGATGGTTTTTCTGGTACCATTATGTTGCTTCCTTTCACACGTAGCTGTCGCGGTTTTAGGATGGAATGCTGTAGTCAACATTGTTACCATTTTCGAATCTTGCCACATTACAAAAGCAACGTTTTTCTTCAAACGCCAGTTGTACTCCCCTCTCAGGAAACTCTTTCGCCTTTTCGGTTGGGACTTTCTTTTGTACTTTTTTAGTAGTACAGGTAGGTCCGATCTATTACTGTTCACTGTAGCCGTTGCATAAATTCCGTGATCATATAAGTATTGTAATATACCGTATGAGGCGAAGAAACTATCAAAGGTCACATGACCTTGAAATCCTTCATCAATTAGTTTCTGCGTTAGATTCTTGACTACATTGGCCCCTAGGCCTATAGTAGGAGACTTGTCATCGCGTTTGCCAGTATAAATATCAAACTCAAATACGTAACCAGTCTCACTGTCGGCTCTTGTCCACACCTTATAGCCTCTCTTGATAGGTTTTAGTGGCATATATTGTTTCAATGTCGATCGCCCTTTGAACAGAATCATCGATTCATCAATCGATTGCGATGATGTGGACTGTACTGCTCTCTGGCATGCAGTGTTCAGGAAATCAAGAAGTGGACGAATCTTGTACAGTTTGTCAAAATGATCTGAATTTTCTTTGGAGGCATCATAGGATTATCATTCAGATGCAAATTCTCTAAGATTTTTTTGAATCTCTTGCACGGCATAATGGAAGCAATTTCATCCGTACGGAAAAATTGATCACTTGACCAGTACAAATCAACACTTGCAAGAGGCTTGAGACCCATCATAATGGTAATCCCTAGAAAAGCTTTGATTTCTGCTTCAGATACCGGTTCCCAGTGTCGACTTTGCTGTTGGTCTGCGTAGATGTTAGTTTGGGTAACTATAAGTTTCAAGATGTCATCGTCGAAAAACTGTGCGAAATAGGCTACAGGTCTTGCATTTCCCGGGACTGCATTCAAGGCTTGCAAACGAACATTATCAAAATTGGCTGTATTGGGATCCTGGGACCAATCGCCTTTTTTCCAGTCAACTTCATCATCGTCTGGTTGGTCCACTTGGGAAAAATCTTCGCTGATTGATCGTCATCCGATTCATCTGAAGCTGATGTTTCGGATAATGCTTGAGTAGTTGGCTTTCCTAATAAATCGGTAACATATATAAACGATATCAGATATGATCCAACAATATCATATAAGGTTAGCACAACGACCCGAATAGATGATTAGACACTTGCAACTGTTTTCAATGCGGGTAATCGTGCGTGGGTGAGGAATCGCTTTTAAATGCTTACGGTTGTGATAACCCGAAGAACACGGTTGTGGTTCATCAATGGATGTGTGTCGTTCAGTCCCACTGCCCTTAGCAGCATCATCTGAATCATCACTTCCAGCGAGAATATCGATCAGAGATGTATCTAGCTTGCTCAAGGTAGAGAGTTCCGGATCAGCTTCCAGTTCATCATCGGACACATCGGGATTATCAGGTAGTCCACAAATTTTCGCCAGCTCTCTTTCAACCTCGTCATCCGACTCTGTATACGGTATGTTCGACATACTTTTAGCTGAAACGTAAAATAGCCTGTAACAGTATTGCGAGCATTTTTCATTGTAGAAAACTGTAACATTTGACATGAACTACAGATCAATGTTTGAAAAAAGTACATGATCTAAGAAAGGAGTTCCAAAACAGTATATTTCTATTGAAAAATTTACCAACTTGTGGGATTTGTAATGAGTTTTAGCTGATATTCGTATTTCCGCTCGAAAATGGCGGTTTGTTTACACAATAATGACTCCCAAATACTCAGTTTCCACTTGTTCCGGCTCAAAAAAAAATTAGAAGTGTTGCCAGATATCAGAAGTAGCCAATGCACGGAAAAAAACTGCAACGGGATTGTTTGTGTGGAGAAAAAAATACAGATTGTTGGTGGCAATATAGTTGCCACTGCCTTCTAAAGGGCTAAACCTTCCAACTTACCTTGTATCTGAAAATCATCTTGTTGCTGTAAATGTACGTGACATTGGAACGAACATCCTTCACTAAATTGTACAGTTTGCCATACTGCTCGACAAAATATTCCTCATAGACGGCCTGGTAGATCAGAAGAGAAATGACCGTCACGTGATCCACGTACCAGGATGGCATGGAAATCCGTCAGAACAAACGATAGGGGTGTGTTCACATTCGGCACCATTTTGTATGAATTTTGCTGAACAACATCGTGCACCATAAATTGCGGGCTGTTCATCTTCGGGCCTATTTCTTGGAAATTGATTCCGTGCTCAGTCAAGCAACAAAAACTCTTTGGGAAATCTTCTTCGTAGTTAAATGCTAGCTTCGAGTAGTTCATGTTACTCATCACATCCTGAAAACCGTTCAACTGCTCGGGGATTGTGAAGTACGATTTAAATACTTTCTGCAGCTGTCCCGGCGCCATTTTGAATCTGTTTGGCGAATAGTTTCATCGAATGTATAGATTCTATCCACCGTTAGCACCAGAATGATACAGTGAATATTCCTTCGATCCTGGCGCATGTGGATTCAATACCCGTTACAGGACGACTATCACTACCGGTTCCAACATCGAACACCTGACGAACGACCTGCTGCACCAGTTTATCTCCGCTGTCTATTCCGATGTCAGCCTCCCAAATAGTTCCTTTACTCGTACCCAATAAAATCGGACCGGTCATTATCTCCATGTGATTGGAGTAGTTGAATCCAATGGCCGTAATTTCCTGATCATTCAGCTGAAAACAGATAAGCAAATTTCTCACCCACTCCGCAAAACTGACAAACACGGCAACTCACATTGGAGATAAATTTCGGCTTGAAGCTATTTCGGTACAGATGGAGAACCTCTGGCGTGAAGCTCGGAGACTTCGGTGCCCGATTTGGTGCCAACGTAATGAACAAATGCGCTCCCAGTGGGTTCAGAAAAAGATTGCACGATTTGAACCCATCGAAGTACTTGTCGATCGGGACCTCGGTGAACTTGTCCTGTTTGATGTTCATCCGCAGAATCGTTAGATAGGTCATCAAAATTATAATCCAATCGTTTTGCACCGACAGGAACAGGATCCCGGACGGGAAAATGGGAAAAATCGCGAAAATGGGAGGTTCCTTCTTGATGCGAACGCTTACGTAGTCCAACGACTGTAGACGATTCGATTGATCCGGTTCGCTAGCCGAGGAATACTGATCAAACATAGAAGCCATTTTGGCTGTTTTATACCCCGTTCACATTACAGCGTATATCACGTGATATACGGTGTCTTGCAATGAGCACTCATACATCTAGTTTTCACTGGAAATCCTATGTATGAGTGCTCATTGCAAGACAGCCTATATTACGTGATATAGACTGTAATGTGAACGGGATATTAAGTGATTTTCTTCAACGCTGGATTTTACAATTATTAACTTTTGGGCAGGAAAATCAAATATAAACTGGAAAATGATTCACTGAATGTCGATTTTTCCCTGGCTCAATTTGTTGGACCGAGCACTGGAATAACAATGGCAGTTCCTTGTCTCAAACGTCAGGTCGATCCGCATCTTTGCGCTGTCATAACGCATAATAACGCATATATATTACACAATTATTTGTTGAATGACCTATGTGCAGCTGTTGCTGTGTAATAATTCCGTCACACATGTGACGGAATGAAAAATCGTCATTTTTTTTCTGCGTAATTCGAAGAACGATATAATATTACATCGAATTGGTGTTAATTTGCATATATTTCTCACAATTACATCTAGTTTCTTGATACGTTAGCATCATTACGTTGAGGCATATTACTTTTTTTTGCTGTGTACCTTTCGTAGTCCTACGTCAAATCTACGGTCGTGTCTTGGATACAACCTCTTACTTTTTTAAATCAAAGCCCTCAATAATGTTCGACTATTTTCAATCATTATTTTTGAAATGTTACTTTTGAAAATATTAGTTCCAATGCTCTAGGGATGATGGTGTAACAAAGTTTTTAAAAATATCTTGTCAAAATCGAGATGCGATAAAAAAAAATAGACGAGTGCGTCATCATTAGCAACGCGTTAAATATGATACTGGCACGGTAAATAATTTAATCTCTCTTCCTTCCTTCCTTCCTTCCTTCCTTCCATAAGCACTTCGCTGTACCTAGCGCAATACCTTCAGGCTACATCTTTTCCGATCGTTATCTTCGCAACAACCGGTCATCGTCACGCCCCCGAGTACGTACCTAACTGTGGGGGTTGCCACGCGCTGATTCGCAACCAGATCAGCGTGGTACATATATGCAAATGAACTTGATCCTCGATCGCAGTCTGTCGTCGTTTGCGCCGCGAGACAAACGAAAGCGAAAGTTGAGATCTGCTACTGCGAGAGACCCCCCGGAGTGCGCGCGCGAGTGAAAGTACGATCCGATTACGCACGTGATTCCAAACGACGCTCCACAGTTTAGTACAGACCGCAGAGCTGTGCGCATATTCAATTGGCTCTCACCATGCGACCGATGATCGTGGCGTGGATCTGGCTGATCGTTTCGAGCAGTGGTGGTTCGTGGATGGGGTTGTGTTTGAAACAATCGACTCCGAAGGTGATCGGTGGACAGAATGCTTGTGCTGGGGAGTTTCCGTTTTTGGTATCGATTCAGTGGAACTTTGGAAACGGTTCCAGAGCGGTCCACTTTTGTGGCGGTACCATTGTGGACCGGTATTGGATTCTGACGGCGGCTCACTGCAAGGAAACTGTGTTCGATAATGGTTGGTTGGAAGTGGTGGCAGGGGAGTTTGATTTGCAACGTGACGAAGGTTTCGAGCAGAGGCGCAATGTGAGCGAGTTTTTAGTACACGAAAACCGGCTGTCCGGGTTTGTCGGGCCAAATGATATAGCTTTGGTAAGTTAGCATTGATGGATTATGAATCATATATTCAACTGAATCAAAACCCATTTCAGATTAGATTAGATCAACCGTTGGAACTGACGACCAATATAACAATGGTAAAGCTAGACGACAGACAAACACCGATTTATGGATTTGCCATTCTTCCCGGATGGGGATCGACATCACCGACCTTTGAGCTGATCTACCCGGAAAAATTACAGAAAGCTTACTTACCGGTCTTCCCGTACGACGCCTGCCTGCAATACTTCCCACTGTTTAGTCCTCTCGAGGAGACAAACTTTTGCGCGGGAGAGCTGAGTGGTACGGTGAATGCTTGTCATCGGGATTCGGGAGGACCGCTGCTGCAAACGATCGACGAAATAGTGACACAAATCGGAATTGTATCCTGGGGAGCCTTACCGTGCACCGCGTATCGCAGTCCAACCGTTGTAACGTGGGTCAGTTGCTTCAGGGACTGGGTTCGGACGACAATCGAAAGAAATTCCGTCGATTTTGATACTTTTATTTAGAATAGAAATTATGTTCGGTGCGAAATAAATAAATTTCCTAAAACAATCAACAAAAAGATCTACATACCTCAGAAAATCTGCTCCAGGAGATCACGATAATACTGAACCTGTGTGTGTTCGCGACTCCGTTGGTTCAGCACAAACAGCAGCGGACAGTCAAGGGAAATGCATGCTGTCTCGAAGGTTCGCTGGCAGCAAGACCTGCACATCTGTAACCAGAAGAGATTAATTCCGACCTTAGCCATTCAGCCAACCACGCACCTTCTCACACAGCTCAACACGCCGCTCCAGTCGATTGATCTTGTCCATCACATAGGTAACGGTTTTCTGCGGGTGCCTACGACACTCGTTGCACACTCCACTGTGCGACTGATTGCCGCAATCGCACACGCAGCTAGTGGTGGAAAAATACTGCGAGATCGTACTCTTCTTCGGTAACTGCAACTCACTTGCAAGCGACGAACTCTTCCCACCCGTGTTATGTAACATTTGATATTTCCGTGGCATGTCGTTGTACCACTGGTGGACGTCAGCTCCGATCAAAAGCAAACACCGATTCAACGGTGGGATTATCGCCTTTGCTATGTAGTAGCTGGAATTGATCTTCAACCCGCTGTCGGCCAACAGTTCATCAGGGCTCCTGACCAGCCGAATCAACGGCACCAGCGGTGGACCGTTGATGATTACGTATGGAACGCGTTCACCTCGACGCGGCTCCCGCCGGGGATCAACGACTATCCAACGGCGTGCCAGTTCAAGCGCAGGCACGCAAGCTCCCGGCTTGTACCCATCCTTACCTCGAAACTCTTTGGCAAATATGAAATCCTGAAGGTTAACTCGTCCCTCCAGAATTTTGGAAAACTGCCGGCAGGTGTATTCTTTGACCTTTGAAACGTCCCGTGTTTCGAACAGGATTCGAAGGATCTTCTCCAACATTTTGCCGACCACGGGACAGCCGTCGCGGCGAACCGTTTCGATGCCCTTCGCTTCGTAGACGGGTTTTTCCTGGTCCGGCGTTTCGTACATGTAGCCCACGTAGCGTTTCTTTGTCTGCAAGACGGAATGCAATTTTGCTTAGGGAATTTCTTGAATTTCCACTCGAATTTCAACCTTCTTACCTGCAAAATCGACGGCTGGTAGACCTTCTCCAGCTTGAGCTTCACCGGCGGCGGGTTATCCTTGGTCACTGCATCAGCAATCTCCGCTCCAATTTTAAAAGCATCCTCCTTCGTCCGCCCCGGACAGAGCACAAACAGCGAATCCGTATCACCGTACACCACCCTGGCACCCCACCTTTCAGTGCTTTCCACCAGTTTGATTGCCCGCTCAAGCGTTTCCCGTCCCTTACTTACAACGCTATCGCCCACCTCGACGCACGGCATTCGACCGCTGAAATTTGCCGCCGTATAACCGTAGGTCACGTTGGCGATCAACTTCAATCCTAACTGCCGCGAGTGGAGCACCCTCTGGAGAATGCTATTCTCTTTGTGCAGCTTCATGGAGGCTTTTACCATCAAGCGTGTCGTTAGGATTTCATTCAACATTCTTGGCAGGATGCCTTCCCGAACGGAAGATTTTACAAAAGCGATCCCACACGGTGAGACTGTGATCAGATTCTTATCCACCAATATCTTTAGCATTCGTGGCGACAGTCGTAGATGGGAAGCCCCGAATTCGAATGGTTCTGATCTGCAATGAAAAATAATGTATCCGTTTCACGCTAGTTTGACCTTCGAACTTACTGTCCTAAATGCTCCACCCTACCGAGACACGTGGAAAAACAGTAATTGTATGCGATGATCATACTTGGGTACAAGCTTTGGAAGTCCAACACAATCAACGGATCGGCGTAGAACCTCGATTCAGGTTCCAGAATCAGAGGAATATACTCCGGGGCTCTCATGTGCGCTCGTTGCTGTATGCTCGGCGAAACCGATACGAAGTTTCGTGGTTTGGCAATCCTCAACATCATACTCTCCACCCGAAACTGAGAACCACGGGAAAGTACTTCGTAGAACTGAATCCCGAACAGCTTCGCCAGTTCAGCCGTTCTTCCGATCAAGTCCAACTGTTGAAGCAACTCGAGATTACCATTTACCCTCTCCAGATAATATTCCACAACGATCCACTTGGAGTACGGTTTGTTCCACAGTCTCGTCAGCTGCCTAAAGCAATGGCGCGGAACTCTGCGGTGTAAAATATGGTACACGATGTTCTCGAAACTGTAAGACGTCAACGCGATCTCGTGCCTCATCAAGCGCCAAATGTCCAACAGAATCCTTCCGGGAATCTTCAATCCGGCACTGTACTCATGCATCTCCAACAATTCCTGTTCTTCATCTTCGGAAACGTGCACTTTCTCCGCCGTCGGAACCCTCGACAACATCTTCATCAGATTCATTTCCAAAGTATACCCCCGCTGGATTATATATCCCCACGAAACCTGTTCGATCTCGTACCCGGCAAATATATCCGGATCCCAAAACGAAATCAGCACCAGGAACTTCTCATACAACTCCCGCTCATTTGCCACCGTAACCACATCGGCTACGTAGCTGCATTTGTTATACTTGTACGGATCGATCCGATCGGTAGCCGTCAGGCCATGCTCGTGATTGAGGATGATCCCACAAACGGACGGAGCTCGGCGATGATCCTCCGGTACGTCATTGTGAATGCGATAGAAGATCGCTGAGATGGGATCGACCTCGGGGTTCGGACGTAGATCACCCCGCGTTTGGACGTGGATTTCCACCGACATAATCGTCAGGTAGTTATACTGGAAGAGGAAGAAGAGAAAATCGAAATGAAAATTAGGTCCTACGGGTTCAGGGGGATGATTTTACCTGACGATAAGAGGACTTTGGATGAAAGGTTGTGCCTGATTGGTAATGAGAACTAACCTAAAATGAAGCCTAAGTGCGAGGCAGAGAGAAAGCATATTATGTTTATTTTAGCTAAATTAACGATAGCACGGATCTGCCTCGGATTGCTTGTAATCAAGCTGCTTTAGTGTATTCGACCAGCCTGTTTCAGTCCATACAGGCTACGCTCCTGTTGAAATCCAAAGCCGTTCCTAACATGGAAAACAGGTGTTCAGGTTGTACTCGCCGTGTCTTCTGAAAAGGGGAATCCCGTATCCCTACGAACCATACGAACGAAGTTGGCTACTCGTACCCCATCCGGCCCCTAGGGGAGGTACCGATAGGGGTTACTTTACAGGAGGCTGAGGACCACTAATTGGGTCTATTTTATACCTGCAGACATGCGTTGTCCGGCCCGTTATCACGACATGTGGAAACGGTTTTATAACGCTAGTTCGAATGTAATACTTGCCCGAATACAACTAGCCCGAAAATCTATTAACTATCGACCTTCTCCGATTCGCGAATCTAGCAATATTTGAATTGAACGTTAAATGTACGACGATTGAGGAGAAAGTGTTGCGTCTGTTTATCCGTGGTTAGACCGTGCGATATTGAGATACTGCGAATGGATAGCTCATTTCAGGCGACGAAGAAGATACAGTCGTTTAGAATACCGGTGAGGGGAGCTGCACTGTGGAACTAGAATCCACAGAGTGAATAGGGTTCGACCTCGATCGATTGAAATGGGAAACTCAAGCAGCTGCTGTTCTGGGAGTCTAGTGAACGGTCACTTTTAACGGGTGAAAATCGTTTCTGGGGGGTTAATTACGTGTGATGCTTTCTCCTCGACTGGGTTCGTATGAAATATGATTATGGATAGAATAAATACGAATTTTGTCCAAAACAAAACTTAAGTTTTTTTTTTTTTTTCGAATAAAATGTTGAACATCTAGATCTTAACCATACATCTTAACAAACGCACACATTTACATATGCTTACGATATATACCGCTCACCATAGGTTGCAAAGTTTGTAGGAGGTTTAACTTACCTCGCACGTTGCTTTGGCTTTCTGGAGGTTTTCAAAGTTAACTTTGAATCCGTAGGTGTTGTTGGTCTGTGTCGTGGCGGAGATGTTTCCCGAGTGATCCCCTTGTTGAGTGCCATCGGGCGCCACCAGAGGGGACCCATTCAGAAGTCGCTTGTGCATCGATGCGATTTCCGCGCTGTGTGGTAACTGAAGGGGGAAGGGGGGAAACCAATAAGCGAAGGAGTTCGTTTCGTGTTGAACGATATTCCGACTTACCGAGGTTCGATCCGACGTTCCACTGTCTGAGTGCTCCGACTTTTGACTAGCGGTTACAATCTGTGAGGAATTCACAACATCCATTCTGTCTTCAGCGTCCGAATGTGAAACAGGGTGCTGTCCCGGGGTGATTGTATCGAATTCTTCTTCCTCCTTAGGTAGTTCCACTTCTTCGAGCTTGGAATCCTTGAATCGTTTGAATGCCGCATTCAGTGACAACCGAGCCTTCGGTATATTGCGTCGCTTTCTCCTAGCACTGTAACTGAGCAGCTCAAGTCGATCCTTTGCTGATGACCCGCTTTCATGGTCCGAGCTCATCGCCGGAGATGATTTTGTGTTCATGGAAAAGATTTTCGAAACCAGAGTCTTTCGCGCACTGGAATCCACCTGATTGCCATCCGCAATTAGAGAACTTAAATTGAGGGTACTGTCGTGATCGATTCTGATGTTTGATGGTTCCTGCGAGGAACTCGTTTCCTCCCCGACCATAATTGCATGCATTTTCTTGATCTTAAGCGGACTGTCCTGTTCCACCGGAACCGTTTCCTCAGTCTTGATCTTTTCGATGGCTTTAAGCCAAACTTTGGCTTCACGTTTGGGTGGAGCCTTGGCAGCCGGTTCTATAACAACCGATTGTTCCGATGCCAAAAGTTCCCTCATTTGACCAGCATCCGAGCAGGAAGATTCGCCCAAAATTCGATCCAAACTTTCACCATAGATGGCGCTTAGTTTTTCGTATCGAAACTGTTCAATCGAACCTAGTTCGCTCATAACACTCTGAAACGGTTCCAAATCGTTCAAACTGTTCCCTCCAATATTTAGTACGACGTGTCCAACTTCCTTCCTGCCCGTAACATCCGCCGGATTGCTATAGAACGGTTCCTGGTGGACCACCTGCGGTATGACGAACTCTTGCATTGCTTTCAATGCGTCTTCCAGTGCAGGTGGTTTATGGGAAAGGGCACTTGTCACTTTTACGCCGTTGTCGCGGCCCAGTTCAATCATGCTTTCATCCGACGTAGAACCTAGCTCGTCAAAATCGTCAAAAACCAGCGTCTGTTCGTAGAAGCTTTTGATATTGAGATCCTCGTCGTCCTCGTCACAACCATCTCCATCATCGCCTTTTTCCGATATCGGCGAACGGCAAGCGATTTCGGTCACGTTCTGTGACATTTCCAGCAGTTTGGGAATCCTTTGTTCCACCGAGGAACGCGATTCCTCGTCGGTTATCTGAATTACTTCCGAATCACTGGAAATTAAAATCGGTTCCAGCTGTGGATGGTCTTCCTTCTTGGTCCGCAAGTCGGTCACCTCCTGTTGAGTTAGAGCCGTTATCAACACCTTGGGTGAAAGTTTGATAATGTTCTGAAACTTATGCGAAAGAGCAACGTCGATGTCTGGTTCTGGTTCCTGTTCCGGTTCGGGTTCTGGAGTTGACGGCCTCCTGGCAGGTCGTCCCTTCCGACTACGACCACGACCCCGGCTACGACCGCGTCTACTTCGTCCCCTTCGAACGGGACCGCGCGATAGACCTTCCTGAGGATCCCAATTGTTGGCCAGATCGTACTCGCGAGCTAATCGGAACTCATCGTACGGCGAGAGATCCCGTTCTTTCGCAGGTTTTTGGCGAGTTCTTCGTTCGGTTACTACTACCGGCGATTCCTGAGCTGGAAGGCGATACGCCGACATGTCAACCATGGAAAGTCTGAAATCAATTTCGGGTATTATAATCCGCTTAGTGATGCAAATTTCTTTACACAAATAGAAAAGAACCTGCATTTTCTGACCCTGATTTTCAAATTGCTTTCAACGATAACCAATAACAAGGAATTACGTTACACTTGAAAGGACAAGCAGGTACATGTGCGTCGTTTTCGATGCAAAATAAAACTGTTCAAATAAATCCTCACCTCACTTTCAGCTCCTTGAGTTTTGGCATCGCCGGTTCTTGCTGAACTCCATTGCACTTCAATTTTTGAATGCTACAATTGACCAAAACATCATGAGCATTGGACTACGAATCATTGGAAGCATTACTCACCTAACTTTACATTCCTTCAATTTCAGATCGCAATACACCCCATTCGTCAATCCGTTGGTCATCTTTTCCGGATGGTCCAGTTTCATCTTTTTCCTCGCTTTCATCGAGGAAGCCTTTCCTTCATGTACGCCATTCGTTGGAACTTCCTTTTTCTCCTCAAATCCGTTGCTCAGCTTCACTTCTGTCACACCTCTCGAACGCTTTGTCAACGGTTCGCTGTGCCCATTCATCTTAACCCCATTGCTTTTGGCAGTCGGAAGAGAAGTGCCATTTTGATTTGTCCTCAACTTTGGAAGTTCACCATCGTGGGCACCATCCAGCTGTGGAATAGCACTCGAATTGAGGATATCATCGTCGGTGTCATTCAGCAAATCATCGCCAGTATTCGCTTCCATCTTCATAGTGTAATCCAGAAGAAACTCATCATCCGAATCCAGAATTTCGTCTGTCTTCTCTTCCACCAACGTGCTATTTCCATCCTTCTTATCTCCCATCAACGAGAGCATCTCCAAATCCCCACTCAACGTGGCATTCAGTCTCTTGTTACTCGATTGCGATAAGCTAATCCCACTTCCACCGGTGGAAGCGATCCTTCGCTCGCTTTGCTGTGTTAGAGGCGCCAACAGACTGTCACCCTCCACCTCATGACTTTCGTTCTCCTCCAACTCTCTCATTATGTCCAGCAATTCATGATCCTCTTCGGCAAACGACGCATCCGGATTCTGAGACATGCTGACAATCCTATCCTCGTCCACCTGACTCGTATCGAAATCGTACACCGTATTTGACTGATTAAACGACGAATACTGACTGAAATGCTTATGATCCTGGACACAGGAAGCATCCAACAACTGTTCATCATCCCCTACCTCCGATGGATAAAACGAAACCGGTGGCCTTAATCTATTTTCTTCAGCTTCTACCGACCTGCTCGATCCATTTCCGCTGGTAAGCTTCGATGCCAGCATTGATCGATAGAACCGATCGCTCTCAGTCACAATTTCCACCTTCCCACCCTGTGACAAACTGAGCGCTTCTGGTTGCTGCATCCCCAGCAATGCCCTCCTAGCTTTTTCGTCGTTCCAAATCGAAGCGATACCTGGATTAGCGTATTCCGATCGCTTCTCTTCCTCCATCAAATTCCTGTTCAGAATATCCACTGCCAAAATATCAATTTCGTTCTCCGATGTAGACATCTTCTGCAACTCCTCTCCGCCTCCACAATCTACCCGTTGCCGTATGGCACAGTCCGGAACATCCAGGAAGCTCATCCCATATAGATTATAATCGATGAAAAACTGTAAGATGTACGGAACATGCGACTCGAATGTCTGAAATACTCGCGATAAGATGACACCGTTCATCAGCAGGTTATTTGCCTTCCGGATCAGAAAAGGGTTGTAGAGGTATATTTTGAAAAACTGATGCTCCTTTCTATGGTAGCCATAAATCGGTCTGAAACCAATCAAAAATTTCCATTATTAAACAACCAATAACCAATCATCCCCAACCCGAACTCACATTCCCTTCACCAACGCTATCCGGAAGACGTGCGTCACCGTCGAGTTGGCATTCCCGAGCGACACATTGACGGCCTTGTCCAAGCTGGCCGCAATCTGGTACATCAGCCGATCCACTGCAATCCGATCCGAAGTGCTTCCATCGTACGGCACGTACAGATACGGAAACACTCCGTGAATGTGCACACAGCTGTGCGTCCCATCGGCCGTCGATCCGAACAGACGAATCACCGGCACCTGCTTCACGTCACACCCGCGGAATTCCGAATAGCACGTATCGAACCGGGGCTCCGGTTTGTGCATGTAGTGGTCAACACTGACGATCCGGATCGAGGTGACATTTTCGCCGCGTCGAACCATGGTGAATAGGAGGCGTTCCTCCGGAGTTCAATCCCCAGCTTGTTTATTTTGTTGTCAATCCAATAAGAAACATAACCTTGAATCGTAGAAAAGAGCGGCTAAATGGGCTGAATGCAGGCAAAGAACTTTCCGGGAAACAAACTTATTAACGCACCAGCGTAAATATCGGCAACAAATAACAACTTTTGATGTTCACTTTACTGCTTCAATCCAACGTAAAAAATTAAGAATTTACGTAAAACTTATGAAAATAAAATGCAACTGGGTACGCGTAGAACAACTTGCTCGCGAAATTTTCCTTTTGTGGCCGAACAGACGAACCAGAGTAATCATGAACGTTTCACGAATGACAAACATGACAACACAATGTGATAACGCCTGCTCTTGAGGGAAGTTGAAAAACTACGTAATCCAGATGTATAGTAAAGGTAGGATAATATAATTAAACTGGTCCTAATAAAATACCGCGTAAAATATTATTTACAAGGCTATTTTTCTCAACAGCGTGTTCGGGGTATTATCCAAACTAGAAATACTCAGAGGAAAAGATGGGCGGAGAGAATGTTTTGAGCCAAATTAACTGTCAAAATCTGAGCCAATCAAACATTTCCATTAGATTTTTTCCAAGGATTTCTTATTCTTACTATATTAAATTTGAGAGTATATACTGTTCTCATTACAACGTATATCACGTGATATACGCTGCCTTGCAATGAGCACTCATATATCTAGTTTTCATTGGAAATCCTATGTATGAGTGCTCATTCCAAGACAGCCTATATTACGTGATATAGGCTGTAATGTGAACGGGGTATTAGAATTACCTCTATGGTGTAACAGTATAACAGAAATTCAATCACCTTTTTGTTTCGTGTGCTTCTCAAATTCTACTAATTTATTAATGAAAAACATTATTCTAACTCTATTGATTAATTAATCTTAGTTGGTTAATTAATGATACCAAGAATTGTTGAAAATTTTGTGATGCAATCAATTAGAGTTAACTACCCCATTTGCGGCCTAGCAAGCAAAACCCGCATGTAGTCTATGTTAATCTAGCGCAGTTTAGCACCAAACGGAATGTTATTATTACTGATGGCTTCCAAATTTATTTACCTTTCCGTATGAACTAGAAGATTTGATAAAGAGAAACCCATTGTTGAGATATTGTCAAAAGTCTAACACTACTTTTTGAGGCCAAACTCGGCCTACGGATTCTAAACTCGGCCTACGGATTCTAAACTCGGCCTAACGCATTGAAACGCCATTGAAACGCCATTGATTCGCCACTGAATTCACTTCGGCCTATCGGATGAAGATAAAAATTGATTCGGTCGGACCGCTTCTTTTTTTTTGGGAATAATGGGTGCAAACTTTCATACCTCGCGTTCTCATTGACTTAATTTGGTAGCTTATTAACTAAAGTATCATACCAAACGCATAATTGACTTGTTAACTCTGAAATCATGGATTTATTTGAAGTTTTCTGCTCGATAGCCCCAAAATGGGCGATTAGGCCGAAGTACACGAAACGAAAATCAATTATTTTATTCACGTGTTTCACTTATACATTTTTGCCAAACATCAGCCTTATACATTCCATAAGACAAACCATATAGGTCCTATAAGAATGCATAAAAGGTATGTGTGACCGCTTATACATTTCATTTGACACATGATCTTCATAAACTTTTTGCAAGGCGTCTGCTTATTAGTTGACTTATACATTTTATGAATAATCAGCAATAGAAATTTGCCAAAAGGTATAAGGAGATTTCTATCCGTGTAGTTCTCTGCCCTATTATTATGCAAGTAGATCGAATAAAAAATAAGAGTCATGTGAAATGCTAGTTTCTAGTAAGGGTTACAAGATCATTAAGGTTCAAACCTCTGCTGCCGAATTGTATTTTATTTTCTCCGGCCATCTCTCCCTCTGAGTATTTCTAATCCAAACCTTTTATGGACAAGTTCCATCAATTGATTTATCCCTGGATTTATCGCTCGTTTGTGATATTTTTTGTATTAGGAGTCCCCCAGCTCGTATAAAATAAATTATAATACTGGATAAACAATAGAGAAGCATCCATCAAAATTTGTAAACAAATCGTTCTAAAGCCATTTCCTCACAAAGTGAAGGCCGCCCACGCAAACCAACATCATGATCGGATAGGGGAAAGTTTCTACTACACGGTGATGATGTTGGTTTGCGTGGGCGGTCTTCACTTTGTGAAGAAAGGGCTTTAGAACCGTTTGTTTACAAATGCTGATGGGCCCTTTTCTATTGGCATTACAGAATATCCATGTGGTCACACATTACTACACTCAAACTAAATGACTGATTTATTTCATGTGCATAATGCCACGGATACACTTGTAACATAGAGATAACTCTAAGACTAGAAGGTTCCGAAATAACTTGCTCAACTTTTTGACTCAGCTCTGGTACTCTCTTCGGTCCCAAGCTAATCGATTCACCCCTCGAAACATAGGAAAATCCACAAACCCCTTATTTTATCAGCCAAACTTTCATAGCGAATAAAAAAAAAATTAAAGGGTTGTGTCCTAGACACGACCGCAGTATGACGTAGAACCACACAAAATTGATGTTTTTCATGCATTTTTGACTATTATACTTTATCTTAAAATTAGGGTGGTTAGGAGAGGTATTTGAGGGGGGGGGGGTAGGAGAGGTATTTGAGGGGGGGGGGGGTTAGGAGAGGTATTTGAGGGGGGGGGGGTAGGAAGGGTTTGATGGTGGGGAGAAGGGTAGGAAAGGTTTGATGGTTGGGGGTGGCGAGAGGTTGTTGAGGGGGGGCGAGAGATTGTTGTGAAGGGTTTACATGTTTTGCTTTTCCTCATTGTGGTCACGCCGTGATCCACCTTAAGCCGCTGATTTGGTCCTGCTTACTGCAGGACCTAGCGCCACGCCGTCCGAAGCGACAATGAGCAAAAGCATGACAGCAGCGCTGTTTTATATCTTTTCAGATTCAGAATCTGATAGGATTTCCCGCAGTTTTTTATGAATGGGGCGGAGCAGAAAGTTTCTTTTGTGCAGAATATGTAAAATAGGATGGACTTTGGATGTTAATATAATTGCATATATAGAGGCACCAGATATGTTTTACCGTCAGTGCAGTCGACGACATTCGCTGCCAGACTGTTGAGCAGTTCAGTCGATTTGAATTCTCTCTAGTTTCGTTCGTTCGTTCGCAAGTCATTAGCTCCGCGTTGTGTAGTGACGCTCTCGCTGACCCAGCCATGGGTAAGAAATCGCGCGGTAACGCGAGTGCCGGTTTACCGGGAAAACAGACTCTCCCAGGAGACGGCGCGACCACCGAGCCAGCCCAGAAGAAGCAGAAGAAAACCCAATTGCCCATCCCGACAGGCGTTGCGGACCCGCAGCCGGGGCCTCCCGGAACTAAACGACCCAGACCTGAAGACAGCAGCGCCACCGTATCAGCAGCAAAAAAGCTGCTGAGCAACAATCCGTTCTCCGCCCTGCAGAACGGAGCCCAGCCGCAGTCGGACCCTGAGACGGTGCCGAAAAAAGTTAAGTTGCCACCCTTCTATGTGAAGGGCTTCCCTCCCGGGCTATGGGAGCAGCTGGATTTCTACATTAAGCAGGGCCTTCGCTGCACCATTCAACGGTGCACGGAAGGCTACAAACTGATGGTCCCGGCCGAAAAACACTTCAACGCAGTTCAGGCCCTCTTGGACAGAATGAAGCTGGAGTACTTCTCCCACGACATCGAGGCCACCAAGCCGCTGAAAGTGGTGCTGCGCGGGCTCCACGACATGGACACCACCACCTTAATGGACGAGATTAAGGCGAACGGCCTCAAGTCGGTCGAAGTCCACAAGATGACCCGCAGCAAGGCCATCAAGTATCGTGACCAGCTCTACCTGGTCCATCTGGAGAAGAACTCCACAACCGTGAAGGATCTCCAGACGACACGCACACTGTTCCACATCGTAGTGAAGTGGGAGCGGTATAAACCCACCCACCGTGGCGTCACTCAGTGCTCGAACTGCCTATTGTTCGGGCACGGCACCAGGAATTGCCGCATGGCCAGCCGCTGCATCAAATGCGGCAAAAACCACAAGATCGACAACTGCGACAGCATCGAGGAAGCCACTCCCACATGCGCCAACTGCGGTGCCGCCCACAAGGCCACGAGTAAGGCCTGTCCGAAGCGGGCCGAATACGCCGAGATCCGGAAGAAAGCCTCGTCCAACAGCCAGCCCGGTCGCAAGAAGGTTCCAGAAAACAACGCGCAGAACTTTCCTCCGTTATCACCGGTCCAATCACGGCCAATTCCAGTGTTGCCGCCGCTCCCGCTCAACCAACAGTTGGCTGCTGCCCAGTTGGCTGCCGCTGCAGTACCCGGTCAAGCCTCCGGGCCATCGACGGATCCCCCTGCTCCGGGATTGGCCGGTACAACCGGCGAAGCTACAGTCGATTCTCCGCTGTCAACGGATGAGATCGTCACACTGTTGGCCCAGGCCATCATCATCAAGCGCACCTGCGCAACAAGAACACAACAGCTCCAAGCTATCATCTCCTTCGTCGCTAATTATGGACCGTGAACCCATAAAGATTGCCAACTGGAACGCTCGCTCCGTAGGGGCGAAAAACATTGAGCTTGCAGACTTCCTCCGCAAGCACGACATCGACGTGGGCCTTCTCACCGAGACCCACCTCAAGACCGGTGACAGCTTCTGGCTGCCCGACCACAGCATTGTCCGGCTTGATCGCACCAGCTCCAGGGGGGGCGGTGTCGCGGTCATCATCAAGAAAGGCATCAAGTACTGCACCCTACCCCACTACCGCACTTCCATCATCGAGGCCGTCGGCGTTGAGGTGGAAACATCGACCGGAAACGTCCGGTTCATCGTTGTCTACTGCCCCCGGCAATGTACCGTTAGCAATGGTACAGCACAGCAGTTCAAGAACGACCTTGCCATCATAACCCGCACCAATGCCCGCTTCGTAATCGGAGGGGACCTGAACGCCCGGCACGAGGCCTGGCGGAACTACCAGCAGAACCAGAACGGCCGCCTGCTATTCGACCATTCCCAGCATGGTCTCTATTCCGTCTGGTTTCCGGACGAACCAACCTT